CCCTCGTCCGGCCCCGCGCCGACCGGGCGGTGCAGCCCCAGGGCCCCTGCCCCCTTCCCGAGTCCGGGAGGCACCGAGGGCCGCAGAGAGGGAGCGAAGGGGTGCCCCACTCGGCGGGGAAACGTGAGCTGACCTCTCGGGCTCGCGCGCAGTTTCCAAGCCCTGGGACGTGCGGACCGCCGGCTCGAGCTTTTGGGCTGGAGGAACGGGAGCGGGCGGCTACATTGTCGGGCGAAGAGTTACGTTGTTGCGCCGGAGCGATAGGGTAGAATGTATCTCTCGCCGCGTCCGCAAATTTGGCTCCTTGTTGGACTCGAACGGTGTGTGGTTTGTCGGGGGCGCACGGAGGGTTTTTATTTACTTGAAAAGGACCATCACAGCCCCGAGACTTAAGCTAGGTTTAGCCATTTTCCCTTCGATTCTCTGATCCAAGAGGGTATGATTGCTGAATAAGAAAGAGTTCTTTTCTAAACGAGTTTCTAAATTTACCAGCAATGTCCCGGAAGAGGCCAACACATGCATATTCAGCACCAAAAAAGACTGGCACACAGTTTTTTGACAAACTGGGCCGTGCTCCTTGGAAGGGTGGGCGGGAATGTGCTGTTTTTAGGAAAATGCCAAGTAACTTCTCTGAATCATATTAAGCATGCTAATTACCAAATATTAAATGCTAATTGCTCTACGTGCGTAGTTCTTTGCACGCCAAGGAAGGGAGATGAAACTGGTATAAGCTACTGGTGACATGACAGGGATGTTTCTTGACTGATGTTTTGCAGCCTCCCCTTGGAGGTGGAAGCACGTTCTGTCTCTTAACCCCAGATGAGTAACACAGTCGTGTTTATCAGCCAGTGCAGGTGTCAAGCCTTACAGCAACAATGTGCCTTGGTGAACTTGAAGCTCCTTTTATTTTTATTTTTTATTTTTTTATTTATTTTTCCCTTTTCTTTCTTTCTTTCTTTTTTTCCCCCCAAATCCCCAGTAGATAGTTGTATGTCATAGCTGCACATCCTTCTAGTTGCTGTATGTGGGACGTGGCCTCAGCATGGCTGGAGAAGCAGTGCGTTGGTGCGCGCCGGGGATCCGAACCCGGGCTGCCAGCAGCGGAGCGCGCGCACTTAACCGCTAAGCCAGGGGGCCGGCCCTGAAGCTCCTTTTAAAGGGGAGGTGAGCCAAGGCACCAAAGAATGGCTAGGAGATGGCTTGGAACTGTTGCAGGACCCCATGTCATTCAGAAAAGGATCACAGTAGATAAGACAGTTGACCAGTATGTCCAGTTACTACAGGCTTGACTGGGTTCATCCTGTACTTGGGTCAAGGAGTTTGCATCACAGCCTGTGCTTCCTCCATCAAGACATTTACGCCTGAGTTGTGGTCGCCTGTTTACTTCTGTGTACCCTGAGCCAGACTGTAAGCTCCATGAGACTAGGGATGGTGTCTGTAGCTGGCAGCACTGGATAACAGGCTGAGTGAATGTAGGAAGCCAGGATGCCTGTCCAGACACCTTGTGGAGTCACCTGTCTTGACCTTCTTCCAGGTGCTGTAGAGCTGAGCCTAGACAAGGGGACCTGGCTGTCCTAGGGCACTGCATGGGAGGGACAGTGGAGGATCAAGTCCACCCCATCCCTCCTGCAAGTGGAGCAGAGCTGCTCCAGCATGTGCCTCCTCGAATGAGAAGGACCATGAATGACACCCTTTGCCCTTCTGCAGAGGAGGTGAAACCACGTCTTGGCCCCAAGCACCAAGAGCAAGTGGGACTTCTAGGCTAGCACGTATAGCAGTGGCTTAAACCTTCCAAGTTCAAACAAAAGGAAGGCTCTGAATAAACTGCAGGCAAAAAAGTCCCCAAGATGTACAGGACCATGAACCCAGAAATGCTACCCAACTTCAGATCACAAGGAGGAAGAACTGTGGTGTTGCTAGAAGTCGCCATCATTACACAGCCTGGTTAAATTTACAAATGATGTGGAAAGTCAGGATGGAGGAAACCAAGGTATAGTATGAAATGTTTCCCCCAATTCAGGCCAATGTGCATTTAAAATTCAGTTGTAAAGCATTACTGCCTAGTAGATCGACTGTCCCAACCTTCTCAAGCGCAGTTTACAGATGGGGGAGAGGAGGGAGGTGGGCGAATGGCGACTGTCCAAGGCAGTGGTTTAAGTGGGGCTGCCACAGGGTAGGGATGTGTGTCTCTGTCATCCGACAGACTTTTCGACAGTTAGCACCTGAGAGTCATTTTTTATTTTTATTTTTTTGTGAGGAGGATTGGCTCTGGGCTAACATCCGTGCCGATCTTCCTCCATTTTGTATATGGGATGCCGCCACACATGGCTTGATGAGCGGTGTGTCAGTCCGTGCCCGGGGATTGGAACCTGTAAACCTTGAGCTGATGAAGTGGAGCACGCGAACTTAACCACTATGCCACTGGGCCAGCCCCGAGAGTCATTTTTTAAGCATCGTGTTCAGCCAGGCAGACAGCTGTGGTTGTAAGTGGGAACGAATTTGGCTATTACGTGGTGGTATTTGGTTGAGAACACTTATGGCAAGCTGCCTAAGGCACCATAAACAGCAGCCTGCCTCCTTGAGCAGAGCCCTTCTGCTCATAAACTCTCCACCTCCAACCCGCCGGCCCTGCCAGACCCCTCTTCCCAGAGCACAGGCTAGTTGCAGCCTCCGTGGTTCAGAATCCCTGAGCAGTTCCCGACTGGCTTACCCACGCCCCTCCATACACTCACCTGTCCTCCCTGGTCCCTGGGAATCCAAGCGCCCTAACCGTGACCTGAAGCTCCGCAGAAATGAACTACAGCTGCTCTCCGTACACCCCCAGGCTTTTGTCTTCATCCCATGACTCTGGAGTCCTGGACCTTTGGGTTCCATGGACCAGTAAAATTTCAAAAACACATCTGGGGACTGACATTGGGCTGTCCAAGGAAGGACACTTAAGAAGACCTCAACTCGTACTGTCTATGGTCCCCATCTTTTTAAAAAACAAAAACACATCGCCACAAAGATAAAATTGTAAGGATCTTCTAAGTAAAGGACAAGAAATCATTTCACCTTTATGAGAAATTTCATACATCATCTCCATTGTTCTCATCTCACCTCTGACCAGTGCTCAGCCCACTGCTGCCCACTAAGCAGGGTCTGGGGCGCACTGCCCCCCTTAGGACAGTGGCTCTCAAACTTCAGCATGCCTAAGAATCACCTGGAGAGCTTGTTAAAACCAAGTTCCGGGCCTGTCCCTCGGTCCTGACTGGGCAGGTCTGGGTGGAGCGTGGGGTTCTGCCTTTCTAACTGGCTCCCAGTTGTCTCTATCAGAGGCCCCCACTTTGAGTAGCACTGGCTACAAGGTTCTCTGGATTTCTTCCCTGATGCTTCAAGGTCCAACCCAAATGCACCTTTCATGAAGCCTCCTCAGTAGAAAATAATTTCTCTTTTAAAAATTCTTGACTATTTTTTATAGCAGAGATGCTGCCATTTTTTGGCAGACCACCTGTTATGCCTCAATGTCTGTTCTTTCCAAATTCGATAGCCCTGGATTTTTAGCTGGGCACATGGGCATTGAAATAATGACTTTCCCAGTAGCCTTTGCTGCAGCCATGTGACTAAGATCTGGCCAATGGGAAGTGGAAATGGGCAGTATCCTTTTAAAGGGAGAGTGGGAGCTTGTCACCTCCCCTCCTTCCAGCTGAATGGAATGAGGATGCAATGGATGGAGCCAGGGCAGTTGCCCGGCCCATGAGGTGGAAGCCCTGTGTTGGTGCTGAGGATGGATAAGAGCCAGTCTGAGGACCAGAGTCACCATGCTGGCTCTGGACTGACTATATTTACAGAAGAGAGAGAGAAAAAACATCTGTTTTGCTAAGCCACTGATAGTTTGGCTTTTCTGTCAGCTTCAACCATTCTAGTCCTAACTAGTACAAACCCTCGCCCATTTTGGGACAGGCTGTTCCCTGCTGTTCTGCTCCAGTGGTTGCTCTGTGGTGGCAGAGCCATGTGGGATTTGGCCTTGTAGCCCCACAGTCAGCTCTTTTCATAATTTGTGGGAAAAACTTCCAAGAAAATAGGTTCCTTGTTTAAGTATTTGTGAAAACAAAAATAATGGTATTATTCTGTGCTTTCTTGATTTAATAGCCCATCTCAGGAGTAAAATCAAATGGAATTCTGAAGAAATACTCAGACATTGGGCCACAAATTTATATAAAAAGGTCACTGCTGCATTATTAAGAACAGTACAAAAGTGGAAAACTAAATGTTTAATAATGGGGATTAGCTAAAATGAATTTTAGAATAAGAAAAGTCTCCTAATAGAAACTTCAAAGGTGAAAAATTATTGAAACATAAATCCAAGCTTGTAAACTAAATATATATACACATAGTTTTTGCCTTTATAAAAAAAAACTTAAAGGTTATCTCCATGTGATAGGATTACATAGGATTTAATTTTTCTCTTTGCATTTTTCTTTATTTTCCTCATTTCCTACAGTGAACATGTTATTACCTTTTTAACTGCGAAAAAACAAAGTTAAACAAGACAAA